ATTGTCAAAATTTTGGTGTCGATCATTCGATTTCATCCTGGACACTACAGAAAATGGGCTAAAAGTGTTAAAAACCGGAATTCTCCTTTAAGTAGATGGAGGAAAGCAGAAAACAAAGGAAAAAGGGAGTAAAACTGTTTGGAGGGAAACACAGGTTTTTACCAAACACTGACTAAACAGTTTAACAAATAATAATTAAAAAAACTCTAATTGTTTTTTGAAAAAATAGGTTAAAGCTTTCAGTAGATCCTTGGCGGCTTACCTGCTTGTTCTTGTATTTCTTAAGGTAACGCGGGGACACCAGACACTCTGGGTTAATATCGGTGGTGATCGGTTCAATGAACTGGGGGTCAGGGTTCATGTGCTGCATCTTGAGGAAGGAGAGAATATTTTGGACCTCTAAGTTGTATGAACTGTCAGCCATGGTCTTTCCTTTGGAGGCCAAGCGACAAGCAGCCATCCAGTGAGCATACTGTTTCTCCTGGATACAAAACACCAATTAGGGGATTAAAAAACAGCAGCAGGGAGAGAAGAAATCCTGGAAAACCACTGCTCTGACTCCAGCCTTACCGTGTCACACCGAAGCCAGATCTCATTCATCCCATCCGCCACAGGGATTAATAATTTGATGTTGAATTTCTGACCAGAAATGTTCACATCTGGCGTTACCTCACAACCTGAGCAATCAAACGAAGACAGGAAAAGAGGGCCAAAGGTTGCAGTCATTCTTTAACAACCTTATATTATTTCATAGCTTGAAGCAGACAAATAAACTTCTACATTCCAAAGTTAGAATCATGCAACACATTTTGGTCTATCTGTATTTTTGCACCTCTTAGATTCATTTGATGAGCAGGCGTCCCATGTGCTTCCTCTTTACTCTTGTAGCAGGAAATGGTGATGTCCTTGAACGTGCACCAGTACTGCTTATAGCCCTTCAGCGTCAGCTTCTTGGGTCTAGAAAATGAGAGTAGACAGGGACACTTTAGGGTTCAGCTGGAAAAATGCTCAGTCTTTAATGTCTGTTAACAGGAGGAATGGGGGAGGGGAGATTATAAGGGAGTACAAAGAGGGTAGAAAAAGAAAGCTTCTGGGGGAGTAAACTCAGCAAGGTGAGGAGTAAGGGAGACAGTGTGGTGGAAAGCCATTACAGAGGAAACACCCTTTGATATCACACCAATCCTATCAACTTTATACTGCAGGTTTTATGAGACAAGCTCCCCAGGAGGTAACCGCCTTTCTGCAAAAAACAGTAGGATCAAAATATGCTTCCACCAACTGATCTCCCTGAAGAGAAACTAAAAGCTCCCTCCCCACTAAATGGTCTTTGGCACTGGAACACCATCAACCTCTTACAATGCTGGAAAGTGAGCAAGGGTACTGTTAAAAAAAGAAAAGAAAAGAAAAACAATGTAGCCTAAACGCCTAGAGATGTTTCTGTACTTAAAGGTATGGTGTAGGATTTTGTGAATTTTTCAAAAGACCCGCCCTCTCCACTTTAAGAAAATGCACATGAACGACCCTGTACAAGCTCCAGAGAGGGAACCCCTATTAAAAGCGCTCGAAAGCATGCATGAGCCCATTTCTCCTTGTGCACGCTCTGTTGAAAAGTTGCTCTTCTCATAGCTTATACAAGCTAACTGTGCCTGGACATCTGACCTAACCCCTAAATGCCTATAAAGAGCAGGGACTACATAGAGGACTTTATGGTGAACTCAGTTAACTGACCGTTCGGACCGATGATCACTACATTTTGCTAACCGTTATTAGTTTGTTATTAGTCCACGCTGTCGGTATGCAACAGTGGGCCGCTGTGACAGCAAATCCCATAATGCTTTGTGAAGAGAGCTCTCCGCGCAAAGCATTCCGGGATGTAGATCTGCCTCTTCTGAGGCCTCTCTTTTCTTCTCATACACTTTGTAGACAAAGGTGAGCTTCAATGATTTTTTTGAAACCGTAGCTCACCACACATATATGCCTGAAAGTGCGGATGCGAAGACAAGGAGAAAAAATTAGGCCGGGCTTATGTAAACGTATTACCAAAATGATTTAAAATTAGGATGACCACTTATTTAGATGATACACCCGGAAATAAAAGATAGTCCTCTATACCTTTAATAGAGGTATTCCAAAAAAAGAAAATCAAAAACAATCCACTGGACTTTGTTTCCAAGTTTAAAGACATTTCACTTCCCATCCAAGAAGCTTTTTCAATTCGATTTAATAAAAGTTTTTACATCGTGTATGCAAGTAACTAAAACATGTTTTAGGTTGGACTCATGTCGCCATTAACATAGACTTACTTGAAAACTTTGACATAGTCTGCTAGCTCTGGAATAGATGTGATGTCGCCCTGAGAGAAAAGGGAAAAATGTTCCATTAGCATTTTTATCTAATAATATTTTAACCAAGGCATTAGGGTAAGGCCATTAAACGCTGTAAATATCTTTCAAATGTAACTGAAATGTAAGGGTTTGACCTCAAATTTCTCACCCCTTTAAATTAGTATCACTTTTAAAGCAAACAAAAAGACATATTTTTTATCATTTATTTTTCTGTCTTATATCCAGACTTGGTGATTTTAATTCCATGCCAAAATCACAAGAACAAAACAAAACAACCTATACAGAAAGAAAAGCTAAAAGAAAAGCTGAAAAACAAATCTGACAAATAAGTCTATGCGTCACTGAAGGTAATGTGGGCTAAACTGCCATCTAATCAAGAGATTTAAAAGCGCTTCGTGGCAAACTCTTCCTGTTCTTAACCCTATAATGCCAAATGTATTGTATTTGATACATACGGTTTCTGAAATGTTTTGCATCCGACACCTTTTGCATAATTTAATGGTAAAAACTTTGCTCAAAATCCTATTTTACACAATCAGATATACCTGATAACAGCCAGTAGAAGACTACATAAAAAAATAATCTTGACTTATTGCATAGTAATAAATTATTAATATCAAAAATGTATTTTTTTTTTCTTTTTACATATTTTGTTAAAGGGGCAAATAAGGAATTCAAACCAAAAAAAAAAGTTATTTTCTGTTTTGTTTTATTCTTGGATCAGGCTTTAAAGGGTTAATGATTCAATCAAAGTACAAAATGTCCCTTGTAAAAAAAATCTTAGAGGTTGGCAGCGATCAGGCAGATGCCATCTCTGCTCCAGTTTTTACCAGCATTCTTCTCTAATGCGCATGTTTCAACATTTCTCATTTTTCCATTGTAATTATGACTAAATGTTTATATTAGAAGATGTAAGTATGAAAGCTGGACACAACGGTAGAGAGCAGTCTCAGTTTTCTATGTGTTGTTATCTATTGTTGCCATTTAACTGTTAATCTGAGAGTACTGCACCTTTAAACTATCAGTTTGTTTACAAGTTTTGCATCCATATTGACGGAAATTAATGATAAAACAGTAATATACAATTCAAATTACACCATTTCCCATGTATTTGGGGAGATATGTCCATTTCGGACATCGGTGATTGTGACTGAAAGGTTCAAACTCGATTATACCAATATCTGTGGAAATTAAAAAAAGAACTCTGATGTGCATCACTGCAGCCAGCAACTTGACAATTTATGAAGACTAAATAAGGTAATGCTTACTGTATCCTGCACACTCTGCATCAGAGTGAAAGTTACCACACAACAGCAACCATTAGTGCATGATTCCAAATGCATCTTTTCTGTTCGTTTCCCTTTTTATGTTTTCTCCAACTTTATGAGACCCATGTTCAGTTTTGTTCAAATAAGGCTTGAAAAAAGGGTACAAAACTTTGAACAAAAAACATGATCCAAAGTCTCAGAATGAGAGGAAAAAAATCTCTTATTGTTTTAGTTCATAAACACAACAGAAATAAAAAGAAAGCAGCCATGTTTTTCTCATACCAGAGTATTGGAGGTTTTCCCCCCTTCCAGAGTAATCTCCAAATCTGACAGCGCTGCATCCACCTCATCCACCTCCTTCTCGCTGTTATTCATGTGGTTGTCTGAAGACATGATTGACAGCTTGTTGATGTGGTACTGTGAAAAAAAAAAAGAAAAAACTCCACTTCAGATGACTTTTATGATTCATTTATCCCTTTATATAAATCTATCCAGGAATAAAGAAACATCTATGTGAAATTAAAGAAGCTGAAAAACAAACGGTTAAGACCAGAGGGCACAAAAAGGTGAAAAATATTTTGTGTAAACCATATTTTGTATCTGCATTTGCTGCTATTGATGCAAAAATGCTCCAAAACAAGGACGGACTGAACAACTGATGCAATGGATAATAAGCAATGCGGTCAGGGAAATCAAACTGAATCATGCTCACTGTGGTATATATGTGGGAGAGGAGGAAACACGCCCGTAACAATGGAAATAGCCGTTCACTAGGATAGCCTCGTTACAAAGAACCCTGCAGTGAGTCACAGAAACTAAAAACAGCTTGTTGACAAATGGTATTTTTCCATGTCAACTCATCACCAACCCCCCACACCGATACGTGAATGAACAGCTGCCCAGAGAGTGAAAGCCACAGAGCTGTTTGGGAGAAATATGTCAGGCAGAAGCTGGCAGGACAGGGAGAAAGAGTTTAATATTTTCTTTGTCAGCTAGGTCAGTTTAAACTTTTGTTCTTATTTATATCCATCAACTGTGATATCTCAACCAAAACCATTGAGATTATAATGCGCAAATTAAACCAAAGACCTGAATGGGAACGTAGGTGACAGAGCTTCCACCAGTCTCGACACCAAACTTATATCAGCAAAACTGATGGTAAAGCAACAAGACGCCATTCAGGTGCCATTCGTTACCCATCTGCTAAAACACACGTTCACACCTTAGACAGTTAGAGCTTCAAAAGGAATGCTGAGCAGGTCTATGGAAGCGTATCTTGTTGGAGTGGGTGGTTTGGGCCAAGGCGTGGAGTACTGTGGCCCAAAACGCACTATAATTACCCTCAGAGTGAGGACAGAGTGGCGTCCTCAGGTCTTGGCACCCGGTTTATGATGGTCAGAAATAGCTGAGGGCACCATGTGGCAACATGAGGAAGCAAAGGGGGTTAACATCTGTATATCGTTTCCACTGCTCCCCTTTCACCGCTGACCGGTCTAGGGAGAACCCCATTACTTGGCCAGCAGCATTTTTAAAAAAGCCCAAAACTCACCAACTGTAATACAAAACTAAAAAAGAATAACTGATTGATGTTCAAACTTACTGAGAGGCTGCAGAAAAACGATGGCAAGCAAGCACAAAGAAACGTATTCTCAGAATAAAAAATGTAAACAGCCACATTTAAGTAGATTGTTTTGCAAAAGTCTCCATCTGCTTTTTTTTTTTTTGCCACAAATCAAAGACTGGATTTTATTTAGATTTTATGAGACAAACTTACAAAAAATGGAGAGGTTAATTTCTGCACATAAAATCTTAAAGTGTGGTGCGCATATGCTTTCCTCCACTTTTCATGCAATAAATAATCCAAGCCAATAGTTTTTTTAAAGAAGCTAATTAGTAAACTGAGAGCAGCTGTCTGTAAATTCAGCTTCTCTCTGAAGGCCTCAAAGGTTTGGTTAATGAACAAATTGCCACATAGAGACCAAGGAAAACAGGAGAGTGAACACATTCTCCTTAGACAGACACTGCAGGCATTATCCCTATGGCAGGATTGTAGTCCAGTCTAATGATTAGTCATCAGGTGAAAAACACCAAAAACTAAACAAAAGCACTGCAAAACCCTGCACATTTCAGTCCTTTACACCATAATTCAAAAAAACAAAAACAAAAAAACAAGAAGAGGCTCTTCCACAAACTCGTACTGTTTTTACCTGCAGGGCAGCAAACATCATCATTTCCTCCTCTGTGCACTCAATTTCCTCCAGCAGGATGGCCCACTTGGCCTGTTCATAGAGCTGGTTGACTCGGATGGCATCATACTGTGGAGCAGTACAAACACATGCTGAACTGAAAATCCACTCAGACACCTGTTAGAACGTTGCATGCAAAGATTTGATGTAATAATCAAAGTATTTGATCATTCAACGGGATTAGATTTAAACTCAATTAAAATTCAAAAGGAAACCGCAACCATTTTAATCATTATGATTTAATTTCCCTAAAAGATTGCATGGTGCTTTAGTAGAGCTTTTTAATTGTTATTCCTTGACTGTGGGACAAACCTTTGGGTTGAGGTCAAAGAAGCTGTGATATTTAAACCTCAGCAGGAGCACATCGTTCTCCTTTACATCCTGCTCCATGAGAGACCGGGATGAATCCAACCACCTGTGAAAAAAAGATTTTCATAGAGTAAAAATATGATTAAAAGCTCCACAGCTCTAAAAAGTGTTTACTCAGCAAAACACCATTTTATAAAATCAGACTTTTAGATTCCTTAAACCAGTAAGTCATCGTCTCACCCTTGATTGATCTTCGCTTTGTCCAGCAGAGACTGGGGTTTGTAGAGTTTGACCAGGATGTCGGGTGAGGATATTGGCTGGCTGACAGCAAGGATGCTGGGGTTACCCTCCGACAGGGGGCTGTCCCCAAACCACGCTGAGGTTGGCGACAGCGGGCTGCCATCCCTGGAGTCGTAGGTTGGGGTCATGGTCTTGCTGTACAAGCCTGGACTAGAGTAGATGCTTCCTGCAAAACAACAAAAAGTCACAAGTTAGTGTGCAGTTATCAAACCATAAAGAAAACCAAAAGCCTATGAAGAGATACATACTCTTTGCAAACTACAGGATACCTGAAGGGGATTGGGTATTTAATTGGCTGATTTGCAGGCGATTTTATTCAGTGGAGTCAGAGAGGGGACTGAATACAAAAGCCCTTTTCTTCTACTTCACAATCATGTGCCAATCATGTACTACTTTAAATGTATCAAAGTATTTAAAAAGGGGGGAAAAAATAAAAACAGATCTATTCTGTTCTTAGCAGGACCAGCTTGCATGTTTGTATTAAATATCATTATTCAGCTACCACCCTATGGTGTTTGAATGAGGCCCGTTCATTATCCCCTCCTGTTGATCATGGTAAAAGTAGAAGGCGTTGATCAGCATACAGGTGCTCCATTAGTAAAAGCATGATCACTGAAGTACAGCAAAGCCTCCACAGAGTTACACTGCACACAGCAAACTATGGCACAGGCAAGGGTGAGAATTTAGGTGCTACATCAACATTAAGAGATAAAGACAGACTAACAGAGAATGTTTCTAAATGGTTCTAACATTTATTTCTGTGTAAAGTTTTTTTCTTTCATGTTTTTAATTTTGGAATTTGAGACCAGGCATGAGTCTCTGGGGAAAAGCTGTTTGCATTTCCTGTTAGCTTGCCTTTTGGGAGTATTTTTGGTCAGCTTGCCCCCTTCGTTCCCTCTCTTCCACCTCAAGCCCTGGGTCAAGAAGTAACTGACTAAACCACTAAATCTCCTCTGAAACAAGGAAGTGGGCTTGGTTAGAGTTTGTGACTGTATGTTTGTGTTGGTAAGCCGGGGTCATGAGAAAGGGGTGTAGGCTTTGACCACCCACTCCATGTGGGGGAGGGTGTTTTCTAATGGTTTCTCCAAGGACTTCCTCCTTAATGCTGAGTTCACCAGGGCAGGGAGAGTACTCCCATCTCCCATAGGGTCTCACGAGGAATGTCAACTATCTAGTGCAAGTATGTAAAAAGCTAAAGCTGATGGTTTATTGAGAAACAGAACTTCCTCCATCCTGTTTACAGTTTAGCTCTTGCAAAACAGAATTCCCTAAATTTCCCACACTTGGGGTTTCATGCATAGCTGAGAAGGACTTCCAAGCAAACAAATCAATATATACACACAAGTGTTTAGTGGATTTATTTTCTGTTCAGGGCTGTTATGTTATATGAGCCATGAAGACATAATTATAATGTATGCTTAACATGTTTTCTGAGGTTCAAACCCTTTTAAAAGTAGCAGCCTTAAACTGCTTAAAAGGAAACCAAGCTTTGACCTAATAGGATGCATAAGCATTTATCATGAGACTACCAACGTCAGGTGACTTTCTCTTGAAGACTGGTCATGTGACTCTGCTGCCAGCTCTCAGACTATACAGATAGTGTCTGAACTTAGTGGCCCAACAGTGAAGAAGGAGAAGGAAGCAGTGCAGAAGGAGCAGGACAGAGGAAGCAGGAAGCTTACCTTTAACAGGTCCGATGTAAATTATCTCAGAGGCTGAGGTGAAAACGAAAGAGTAGGAAAGAGAGAGACAGAAAAAAAAGGTGAAGGAAAAGGAGTGGAATAGTAAACAAAATTATTAAAGTAGATTCAGGTTGTCTCAAACTGTCAAAGGAAAGAGGAAAACAGAAAAACAGGAGAAATGACAAAAGGTGAAGATATATAAAATGAGACTATGTGGCATTTCCACAGACGGAGCCAGGGCCAATGACTCAGCCTGTTACTTAGTGAAGGAGATGGGTTGGCAATGACTCACTTTTAACTTTCAACAAGCGAGAGTAACTATAGAGGCAAGTAAGGTACTGGTCAGAATAATCATGTGACACAGCCATCAGATCTATGGTCCAATTTTAATATCCATGTTCAGAATGACTTTCTCCAACTATTGCAGCTCGACGGAACTTTTACACCATTGACTGTAGATGCCTTGGGTCAATTCTCTTCATCCAAAAAGATGAAGTGACTTCCTGTGGGACGTGTTTATACTAGGGTTCCAAATACAACTTTTACATTTCCGAAACGATATCAACACGAATCATAAATGCTTCTATTACTTATTTTATACTGCAGAATGTAAAAAAAAAAAAAAAAAAAAGCTTGTTCAAGAGATAATATTAAAACAGAGAACAATAGTCAACAACAACTGCTATGAGAACAACTGACCCATGTTATACTAACCAACAGGTTAAAGAAGCTTTAAAGCTACAGTGTGTAATTTTCAGCGAGATCTAACGTCCAGACTGCAGACCGCAGCAACATGAACATCTCCCCCCCCACCGCTTCTCCCCCCCAACAGTACGGCGAGCGTTACGGGACAAAATGTCTTCCAC